GGGGGGGGGTATCGGCTGGTATCTAGTGTAAGAAATAGACAAGGGATGAAGGCTCCAGCCAGCTCACATTTTTTAAACTCGAAAAAACAGACGAAAAAAATAAAAAAATAAAATCTAAAAAAAATACCAGGTTGAAGAATATTAGTTGCTGTGAGCTGGCTGGAGCCTTCATCCCTTGTCTATTTCTTACACTAGATACCAGCCGATACCCCCCCCCGCTCATAGAGACTGCGTATAACAGTTGATTATAGTTCCTGGGCTCCCTGTGATTAAATGTCATCTTATTTAACTTTTGACAACCACCCCCAAGTGTACTGATAACATTAGGACTAAGTTATCACCATTTTAATATTGGATGCGCTTAATACATTAATTTATCAACATTGTGTTCAAATAAAGATGAAAATATCTTAGAGGATAACACTTCCGTCGCAAGCACTCTTTCAACGTTTTTTATCCACCTGAAACGTAAAAAAACGCAGCAAGAATTACTACTTAGTTTGATCTTTTCACACGATTTTCCTTCCAAAAGTTTGAACAGTTGCCAAACTGCTGGTTTAGTAGCTTTTTTGTGCATAGTAACATTCATCACATGAATGATTGTTTAGTATATTTTGTCATACTAAATGTTCCATCTCCCCTAAAACTGACGAGCCCCTTGCCCCCTTCCTGTTAATTAACGTCCAGTCCCTTACCGTTTATTTTACGTACTACGACGCACTGGTGACCTAGTGTCAGGCTATGACCTTGATATGACCCAGCGGGGGGTGACCTCGATTGCATTCGCCAAAACCAAAATGGCACTTGCTCGGCGGCTTGTTGTCGGGCCGGCGGTCTTCCAACGATTATGCAGACAGTGTCTTATAACGACTGCTGTGGGCACACAACGACACGACCAGTCACCTTTTTGGACAAGGAAAATACATACGAGCAGGTAATCAAAACATCACAAACGCGTCATCAATTTTGCAGCAGTGGATTGGACGAACGATGGCAAAAAGGGCGGAACAAACTTTGCAGGCCGGCACATTACTTGTATATGCGCTTTGTTCTGTCGCTGGGATCGACCGTGTTAATTCGTAATCTGAAACAACATCAACGGATTGGCTAAGTGAATCATTTATCGCGGAACAGTCATCAAAAACAACTCGAATACAGAATCCAAACAATTACCATTCAATGTATTCAATGCCACGTTGATTATTATCGTTGTTTACTTAAGAACAAGTTTGTTGAGGCATGGAGCTAAAAAAAGATGGTTGAGCCATGGGTGACTGAAAATTTAATCAGAAAATACAACCTTAGCGTGGTTTGGGTGAAAATCGTGGTTGGTAAAACAATCAAGGTAACATATGGCAAAAACATGATGAATGGTTGTTTGAAATGACACATATACTGACCAGACACAAATAATCTTTTTTGGCCTTTAATAATAATATATTTTAAACCATTTGTCTGAGTTTTAGGACATTTTTTCATTGTTACCTTGCCCGTACCTTCAAAGATGGAAGGGAGAGGTATGTTAAGGGAAATATTTCTGTCCTCGTCGTTGTCATTGTTGTCGTCGTCGTTAATAATTGTTATTGTGTGCACAATAACTTTACTAATTCTATTCCAAACTTCATCAAACTTGGTCAGTATTCATCAGTATAAAGTCTTCCCTGAGTATGAACAACAGATGTCCTGTATGAAAATATCATGCAAAAATTGAGAAAATCTGATAAAATATTTTGACTGTTTCTACTTGACTGATCACTGGTGATACACATTCAAAGGTCACTGATCTCAGTGGAAATATGCATTGTTGTATGTGTTCAATGAAGCAAATCATTTATCTTGTATTAATATCATTTGTAATGTATCTCCCAAATCCCATGGGAATACTAGACTGGGTTTCAAAACCAACTCATGGAGAGAGTTTTTTCACAGTCTGATACACATTTGCAAACCTACCAATAAAATCTTTACAGAAAGATGTCAGAAAGTCATTATAAGCACTCTTATGAATTGGGTGCCAAACTTTGATCAAGATCTGAAGCTAATAGAAAATCTGTTTAGTTCAAAGTTATCAAATCAAAAACAATACATAAAAAATACATAAAAAGCAAAACGTTGCATCCACATTTTGAAAAGAAAATTGTACTATTTAATATGTATTCTGTATTTGGCAAACAGTTCATTCAACAAATGGAAATTCACAGGAATTTGTTTCAGCTATTAGAACAGAATGATAGAGTTTTTATAATACTAGTTTAAAAACGCACTTCAAAAACAAAGATTGCAGTGTTTAAAGATGTAGATTCTCAGGAGGCAACAGTACTGTTGACTTCTCCCTTCACTGGACACCAAATAACTATTTAAGTTGATTTGCATTCAAAGCAGAGCTTGCAACATGATAGCTATTCATAGAGGGAATTTTTTCATATAATACAGTAGTCACACAATGAATATAAGAATGCAGTTCATATTTGTCTCAGTGAATCATTAATTTTTGACAGACACCTGTACAAAATACTTGGACAAAAGCCAGCTAAGATTTTCTGTTATCTTGCATGTTTTATGAATCTATTCACATCTTAATGCAGCACTTTTTTTTCTGAGATGAGGCATTTGTTTTTATACTAAAATATTTGAATTACTTTGAATAAAGCTGGAAATTGTGTCCCTTAAAATAATTAAACAAATTAGACATCAATGTTTTTGTATGATATCTATCAAGGACATTCGGTAGACTGATTTCCCACTGTTGTTTCAACCCCAAAACGTGTTTGCATTCAAAATTATGACAATGCATATTCATATTAAAACAAACTATGATAAATGGAATAATATTATATAACAAAGGGCAAGGTCACCAGAGTTCAACTATGTTTTTCATTTTTAGTCGTGGATTTTAATGTTATTTACAATACTGAAATCATTATTTTATATTTATCTCTCCTCAAGTAATCACTTACAGACATACACACAGAGTTATGTTCATACGATCGGCGATGCTCCATTGATTGGGGATACGATTGGTAAAATCATCGACAGAACAACAGAAAAATATCCAGACAAAACAGCTGTTGTTTTTTGTCAACAAGGGATCAGAAAAACATTTCACCAATTTAAAGAAGATGTAAGTGTAACCCGTAATCATAGCGTAGATGTCAAAGGGCATTCGAGGTTAAAGATCAAATACAACAGTTTCTACATTCCAAAATGACGTTTTTTGTACATGGTTTTTATAATATACACTTATCATAAGTCACATTTCATGGCACATTTCTTTTCAAAAACAAATTATTTAAATTAAATTTTACTTTATTATTTAATATTTCATAATTTATTACTAACTAATATTTTATTGCTGTCTAAGGATGCAATATATAATTATTACTATTAATAATCCAAAATATTACTGTGGATCTATTATTACAGATTGATAAACTTGCTGCTGGTTTCCTAGCTATTGGGATTGAAAGAGGAGACAGAGTAGGTATGTGGTCTCCCAACAAATATGAATGGGTGCTGACACAATATGCAACAGCCAGGATAGGAGCTATTCAAGTTAATATCAACCCAGCTTATAGACCGCAAGAGTTACTTTATGCACTTAAAAAGGTATATATACTTTTAAACTTGTGATGTAATTTGCATAATTGAATGGTGATATTCTTCTTGGAAAATTATACGCATATTTCAATTTATGCATGATAGGTTTCAAGTTTATTCAATATATCCTTATTCAATAAATTTCAGGATATTTTTTATGATTTTAATAAGTTATGGTCCCCATCGATACCTAGAGTAAAACAATAATAATATGAGGTTATTACGAGGATACCTCAAAGTATGCATGAAGACAGTACACTGGGAGCACAGTCAGCTGGCGCACACATGAAGAACCTAGAACACTTTCCTGGGGTATTTGAAACTAAAAATTGGCATTCCAGCTCAGCCAATCAGCGACGACCTTACACTTAGATGACAATTTTGGTTTCAAATACCCCGGCTTAGTGTTCTAGGTTCTTCGTGTAATTAGGTGTTTGTATGCAAAGGATTTTTCAACACAAAAACGACGAATTCGGCCGAATTTTGTTATCTGTTGGCTTAATATAACCCCAACGAACCGTATTTTTGTAAAAGATTGGTATTTTTGTCCTGATTTGTAGGAATCTGAAAAACGCGTTTCACAACTTGTCTCTTATTTAGTTATATGCGTCATTCAAGATGGCACCCCCCATATAGTAAATATCGTATTTATTTTATTATCACGTGCGCGCCAGCTGACTGTGACTGGGAGTATCGACCGACATGCAGCAGAAATCAATGCGAAGGCGTCCTGTCTGAGTGTATACTTTGAGGTAACCTCATAATAACCTTATTATTTTACATCTTTTCCTACCAAGGATACATCATGGGAAATCCAAAAAGTTTAGAACAGAATCAGCGAACTGCTTTGTGTGGTGTCCGGTCAAACCCAGGTGGCAGCCATGTTTGTGTTTATTATTAGAGGATGCTTACGCACGTAATCAGTCCATATTTGGAATTAGCATTTCCTTATATGGTACTATGAAAATACCCTGTAAAATACCGCAAAATTACGGCATGCTGTAACTTATGGCGTTACGGTGACAGATGTATAATAATGATTTTTATTCTTAGGTCGGATGTAAAGCTTGGTGTCAGATCAAAAATTTAAAACTCAGGATTATTATTTGATGATTGATGAAATATGTCCAGAATTGGAACATTCCCATGCCGGTGAAATTAAAAGTAAAGTGTAAGTTCACATACATCCACTTCTTGACATGTAACCCATTTCAAGTTTAGTAAACGCCCTGTTTTCTAGTTCTTTTTTCATATAATTATATTTAGAAATTGATGTTTAATTAGTCACATCAAATCATACTTGCAGCCTACAATTGTACTTTGAAAAATCAAAATGGTGTCCTATGTACATTTTAGTGTTCAAAATGAAATTGGTTTCTTGTCCTTTCTCCAGGACTTTGCGCTTTGTCATACTTTTTTATGCTGCCCTAAGGGGTCAGTATTTCTATCAAATGACATGACATTCAACAACTG